CCTATATCTACGGAAGGAGAAGATTATTTACTGCACTTTGCGGGTGAAATCAACCGTGGCTCGAATAATTGCAGTATAGCACAATTGAATGGTCGAAGCTTGAGAAATCAGATTGATTACATCAAACTGCTACTTAAAGTGTGCCGCTTTGACATTTTAGCAATGACTGAAACCTTCTTAGACGAGAGCATATCGGTCGAGTAAATACATGTGGATAACTATAAGACTGTTAGAGGGGACAGAAATACGGGACAGGATGGAGGTGGCTGTTTGATTTACACTGCGAGCCATATTTGTTATTCAAGGCTCAAATCCTTGGAGTGTCCCCCTATTGAATTAATTTGGATCAAAATTATGCTTAATTCGTCTGCGTTGATCTTAGGTAATTCTTGTCGACCTCCTTCTGATTTCAAGTCCTACAGCAGATTTCATGATTGTCTTGAGAGAGTGTGGCTTAGGCATAGGAATGCGGTTCTCGTCGGGGATTTCAATCCGGACCATTTTGGTAACTACGAGTGTGTTTCATCATATGCCGGTAGGAAATTACAAGACATATTGCAGCAATTTAGCTGCAGCGTAATAAACGATAGGAACGAGCCAATAAGAGTTACAAGTGACACAGAAACCTTGATTGACTTGGTTATTACCAGTAAGCTAGTGATCACCAAAGGAGCTATCAAAACAATTGAGTTAGGAGTCTCAGATCATAAACTGGTTCTTGCCACAATATGGTCTGAGATAAAAATGCCGCCTCCAAAATTAGTCAAAGCCCGCACCTTTCAAGAGACTCGACCAAGTAGCTTTTGTGAGGGAATATCGAGAATGCACCTTGGTCAGTCTGCTCCGTGTTCAGTGATCCGGACGATTTCTATTGGAAATATACACATATTCAATGATATCTGTCAGATGCATGCGCCTTAAATTGAAGTTAAAATCAGGAGCATCTCGGTACCTTGGATTAAAGATTTTTTCACGCTTAAAACAAACTTCTGCTTCTTTTATTCCGATCACGTCCAAATAAACGGTTACAACAACAGAGAGAGAAAACAAAATACTCTACTATATATATGCTAATTCCTAAAAAACAAATTTTGAATAACAAAAGGAAAAGACACACCTGGACCAATCATAGATCAAATTAACTATTCCTGTGAAATATTTCAAATTTAAAATGACAACGGCAAACATAATATGCATAATAACAACACTCCCACTTTTGACGTTGCTTATTTGACAGTCTTCATGCCTAGCTTAGTAACAAGTTTCTCAAAGCGATGCTTAGGCAAAGGTTTCGTAAGGATGTCAGCAACCATCTCGTCCGTGCCAATGTATTTCAAGGTGATCGCTCCGTCTTGTACTCTTTCGCGAACGAAGTGGTAACGTATATCGATGTGTTTTGTCCTGGCATGGCCCACGGGATTTTTAGCCATCGAAATAGCCCCTTGGTTGTCTTCATATATTTCAGTTGGTCCCTCTGGGGGTTCTCCCATGTCTGCCAATAATCTTCGAAGCCAGATTGCTTCCTGAGT